GGAGAACTGACTTAAGGTTTTGCGTTTTGTGTTTGCACTTGTGCGGTTTAGCAAGAGTCGTCATCGACTTTTTATTTTATCCAAAGAAAAGGTCAAAAAGCACAGGAAAGACCTTTGAGATGTTTTCTTGGGTTCGGGGGGTAGATTATGAAAAGGGAAGGTGCTAGCACCCTTTTCATCCATGGTTTTCCATGGGCTCTTAGTTACTTGTTAAGATCACTTGCTTTTGCTTTTTAATTGTTTGAAATGGTGCTTTTGGTGTGTGATTTTGAAAGTATTTTGAAAAGAGGCCTTTGTTATGGCAACCTTTGTAATAATTCTTGTTTGAATGTATACAAAGGTGTATGTATTTTGAAAAATGTTTCAATTGTTTGAAAGTTGTTTTTGGGAAATGTTTTGAAATTGTGTTGTGATGTTTTTTTTTTTGAAAATAGCAAGGATGTTTGCAAGTTTTGTTCAAGTAACTAAGAGCATCTACCCTATCTACTCAAAGATCTTTCCTACACATTTTTAACCCTTTTGACAGTGATTCGAATCAGTGCAACTTGTGGTTCAAATCAGTGCAACTTGTGATTTGATTCACAATGTTGCATGATTCGAATCTCAAACACCAAAAAGTTTATGTTCTCCTTTGTTTGATTTAATTCGAGTTATATATTGCGAGTGACTCGAGTCACACACAATAATTCTCTAATTTTTAAGTTTTTCAAAACAGTTTGAGATTTCACTTCCCATATAACTTAAACCAATATCAAATATGGTTCTTATTCCATTAACTCAAGAAATTGACTTAAAACGTCATGATCAAACTCAAATACAACCAATTGAATTATGCATCCAAAAAATGAATCAATTCAAAATTCAATTCAAAGATATGCAATTGATGAGGAGACTCAGTAAACAAAGATATACGAAACAAAAGCTTATAAGACAAGCAACAAAATCGCATTGGGGTTCTCTCCCTAAATGTATTGGGGACGTCCAACTTCATAATAAGTACCTATCCTATCATCATGACATATTTTAGAGATGCATCTCTAGATACGCCCTATTTTTTTTCAAAAATAAGGGTCCTTACGGAGATGAACATCTGCAGAGTCCCCTGTTTTGTTTGTTTTCTATAATTAAAAAGGTGTGTCCGGAGATGCATGTTCGGACCAACCTAAATCATAGTTCATACATAACTAATGTATTATGCAGTGCAAAATTTATAAACACTAAAATTGTCCAAAAATTACCACCCAATTTTATAACATTATGGACAATATTACATGCAAAAAACGAGTTACATTGTTAGATTAAAATTAAAATGTATCAAAAAATGTGTCACTATCTAAATCTGTAGGTAGTTCCTTCTTTGACTTTCCTTATTTGTTTCTCTTTCAATGTCGCTCAATTCGGTGAATTCCTCAGTGATGTCTTTGGTATAGAATATTCCGATTTCAAATAAACTTGAACAAAATGTTGTTTTTTTATAGCCAGCCAATACATATGATACACTCAGATGAATTTTGAGGCGACTTACTCCGAAGTGGAAAGAATGTTTTCGAGAAACCATATCGTGTTAAATCAATACAGACCTTACCATAAACACTTTCTATGAAATGTCATATTTTCAGAAAGCGCATCCATTTGTCAAACAGTGTCGGACCACTAAGACAAGGAACAAAAGCATTGAGAATTGCATATGCATCCTCGAAAATATCAATGAATCATTAATTAAACCATCTCAATGTACAAAGGTTATTTCAAAGATGCATATTCGAATACAATTCAGATGATATACGAAGATGCATCTCCACATACAATCCAAATAATATACAGAGATACATCTCCGAACCATATTTTGTTCAAAATGAGGTGATCTCAGAAAAGCAAAGATTTATGCAATTTTGAGTACGTTCGAAGATGCGTCTATGGACGCATGAAGAGAATTTCTAGGTATCCAAAAGTGTGGAGCACACCCCTAAACGTGGAAAGAGTATCTCCCATGTAAAAACTGTTAAATTGAGCCATTTATTACATTTAAAGGTCCAAAATATTTATTTAATATTATTGTATTTAAAAAATATAATATAGCTTAATTTTGTATGACAAAATTAAAGATAAATTAATCAAACAAATCAATTCATTTTAATAGATTTCGCTGAATCCGATCAAACTGATTAAAATTTCAATCAAAATTAAACCTAACAAACACATTCACAATTTAATATATTAAACTCGAGCTCAACTCAAATGACCGGGAGTTCGAATCTAGCAGCAACACACCTAAAAAAAAACATAAAATTTAATAATATATTTCTATTAGATCGACCAAACGACATAAGAATAAGATTGCATTGCTTATATGTAAAAAATAATATTGTATAAATCCAATATCAAATTTGAAATGTAATTCAATTCAATTTATTTATTTTGATTCAAATTTTATTCAAATATTATTTTTTATATTTTGCCATTCAAATTTCTATAAATAATTTATTTTCATTTTGAATTTTTTCCTTATATTTAATTTATATTTGTTTTGTTAAAACTTAATATAAAACAATTTATTTATTAAGATATACCACAGAGTCGTTTTCTTTCTTTTATTTTTCTTTTATCCAAATGGACCAAAAACAAATTCCCTATACATATGTAACATCCAGAGTTAAGACTTTTGCTCTGAGTTCCATTAAAAAAACACATGAGTCAACTCACCAGATTTTTTTCCATATATAATAAACATTTTTCATAAAAATAATAAACTATAATAAACATTATAATTAAAATAATTTTGCTATATTGTTAGGTAAAACTTTACGTTCACTTTATAATGGCTAAATTTTTAAAATTATTTCGAAAAACAAAATAAAAGAATTATAATTAATTGATAAGAAATTGAAAATGAAAAAAAAAAAAAGGGTATAACGCGCCGGGTCGAGTTGAGAGTCTCACCCAGTAATCCAACCGCGACTCGCGACGATTCCTAAGCGATTTTCGCATCCGCCGCCAACAACCGAACGATTCCGGCGCGATCCATCTTCCACCACCGGAAGAGCTTTCTCTACCGCGGAGTCCACTTCGATCTGGGTCGTCTTCCTTAGAGGTTGCTTTCTCACTTTCTCTTTACATGATCGAGTTTCTTATTCTCGGAATTGAGTTTGATTAGAAAAGGAAATTTTGATTTCGAGGAAACTGTGAGTGATTATGGAAATTTCGTCGAGTTTTCACTGTTTTTTTCTGATTATTTTTATTTAGAAATTGTTTTACTTTTCTAGGTTATTTGAATTATTTGCAATTTTTTTCTGATTATGTTTAGGTTTTAATTGGATAGTTCTAGATGAAATTTTTGATTCAGTGGAGTTCTGAGGTTTTGTTTGGGTGGAAGCAGAGTGAAATTTTCATTTCTGAATTTGTAGTTTTTTTTTTTGTGAAGAAAAAATATCTGAATTTTGAGTTTTTGTTTTTTTAGAAATAGGGTTTAAGGTTTAGGATAAGTGATCGGGAGACCCGGCGAGTAGCTTTAGAAATATATGGTTTTCGGCTACCGCTTAAGTAGAGGTAAGATGGAGTATATGGAATGTAAGTTCAACAAAAGAAGAAGCGTTTTTAATCTGAAAGTTGGAGACCAATCATCTCTCAAGTCACTCTGTTTAAATATCTTGGGTCTGCAGTACAAAATGATGGAGGAATAGAAGGGGACATAAACCATTGGTTTATGTGACACAAAGGTACCATATTGTAAGAGATTGTTGTAAGACCTGCCATATTGTAAGCGACAGAATGTTGAGCGGTTAAAAACCAATACGAGAATAAAGTAAGTGTAGTAGAGATGACGATGTTGCGTTGAATGTGTGGTAAGACTAGACATGACAAGATTAAAATAAAAATATTAGAGAGAGTGTTGGGGTAGTATTTATAGTAGAAAAGATGGTGGAATATAGACTTAGGTGGTTTGGTAAGGAGAGTAGATCAGATGAAGAGAAGTCAAACAACTAGAGGAAGAGGAAGCGGAAGACTTAGAAAGACTATAAGAGAAGTTGTTAAGAAAGATTTCGAGATTAACGATTTGGATAGAAGCATGATTCTGGATAGAACATTATGACGTAAGTTGATCTATGTAGTCGACTCCACTTAGTGGGATAAGATTTGGTTGTTGTTGTTGTAATCATTTTATAAATAAACCAATGATTGTAATCATACAATTTTTCTTTCCCTGTGAGATAGAATGGTAAGAGGGACTCTTGATGTCAAATTCTGCTGTAGTTACCAAAGGATGGTGAAAGAATTAATGCCTTAGCCTTGTTTGGAAGTTAGGTTGGGGAAATTAAAAGAAAACACTTGACATAGGGTATGAAGTGTAATTAGAGACAGGAAAGGGAAACGAAGGATTTCTTCAAGTTGGGTTCCATTGGTTACCTTTTAAATTTTAATGGGTGTTTTCTATAGCTCATAGGTGCAATACATGAGTTGCCTTCGGATTGATGTAATGTGGAATCTAGAAAATATCTCTCGATGCTAGTCCAAACTTGGCATCAATAGGACATTTCGATCCAAAACTCTAGAAGATTTTTGTCCAACTGTGTACCTGTTGGTTGGTTGCTATTTCTTAATGCCCTTTTGAGTGCTCTACAATGTACGTTTCTTAAATATAGTCCGTGGTTGTGTAGGCTGTATTGTAATCGATGAAGTTGATGGTGCTTTTGTTATCCAACATTGGGCCCTTGATTTTCATGAGAAGACTGCCTTAAAAATTCGTACAAAGTATTTCTCATTGTTGGCCGTATTCAATGAGACAAAAGGTATTGATGTTTCTTTGGATTCATCCTACTCACCTTAGCGATATGGGTTTTTCTTTCTCTTATGTGCTTTTTTCTCGGTGTCTTTGATGCTTATTAGCATGCTGCCTTTACTCCAATTTTCAAGCATCCCTGATAGCAGTTAAATTTTATGTGTCTTGTATTCATCCCACATGCTTATGCAGGTATAATTGTGATAGCTCAGATTTGGATGTAATGGCTCCAATACGTTCCACTGGATTTGTTGATCCTGGTTGGGATCATGGCACTGCTCAAGATGAGCGCAAAAAGAAAGTTAGATGTAATTACTGTGGAAAAATAGTTAGTGGTGGGATATACAGATTAAAACAGCATTTAGCTCGAGTTTCTGGTGAAGTAACATATTGTGAAAAGGCTCCAGAGGAAGTCTACCTTAAAATGAAGGAAAATCTGGAAGGGTGCCGTTCCAATAAGAAACAGAAGCAGGTTGATGCACAGGCATATATGAATTTCAACTCTAATGACGATGAAGACGATGAAGAGCAAGTTGGGTGTAGAAGTAAAGGGAGGCAATTGATGGTTGAAAGGAATGTGTCTGTAAGTTTGACTCCTCTTCGGTCTTTAGGATATATTGACCCAGGGTGGGAACATGGTGTTGCTCAGGATGAGAGAAAGAAAAAAGTTAAATGCAGTTACTGTGAGAAAGTTGTCAGTGGAGGTATTAATAGGTTTAAACAACATTTGGCTAGAATTCCTGGAGAGGTAGCACCTTGTAAAAGTGCTCCAGAAGAAGTTTATCTTAAAATTAAAGATAATATGAAATGGCATCGCACTGGAAAGAGACATAGGCAACCTGAGGGTAAGGAACTGTTGCCTTTCTATCCGAAGTCCGATAATGATGATGACGAATACGAGCAACCGGAAGATACTTTGCATCATATGAACAAGGATGCTTTGATTGATATTGATAGGAGATACTCCAAAGATACAGAAAAGACCTTCAAGGGAATGTCCACTGGCCCAGAACCAGTGTTGAGAAGATCAAAATTGGATAGTTTTTACCGGAAACCTCCCACAAATCAGGCTCCTACAACTTACAAACATTTAAAAGTTAAGACAGGGTCCACGAAGAAATTACGCAAGGAAGTTATTTCCTCAATATGCAAGTTCTTTTGCCATGCTGGAATTCCTTTACAGGCTGCTGACTCCATATATTTTCATAAAATGCTGGAAATGGCAGGTCAATATGGACAAGGACTGGTATGCCCGCCCAGCCAAGTTATTTCTAGTCGCTTTTTGCAGGAGGAAATCAATTCCATTAAGAATTACCTTATTGAATATAAGGCTTCCTGGGCAATCACTGGTTGTTCTATAATGGCTGATAGTTGGAGAGATACCCAGGGTAGGACAATTATTAACTTTCTTGTTTCATGTCCTCACGGAGTATACTTTGTTTCATCGGTTGATGCCACTAACGTGGTAGAAGATGCACCATATTTATTTAAGCTTCTGGACAAAGTAGTGGAAGAAATAGGTGAGGAAAATGTAGTGCAGGTAAAATGTTATTTCTATTCTTGGGGAATTCTCCTTTATCCTAAATATTACCTTGTATCTGTTATTTTAATCTGGTTCTTCTATTTCCCCCTTTTGATGTAGGTAATCACTGAAAATACTCCTAACTATAAAGCTGCAGGGAAAATGCTTGAAGAGAGGAGAAGGAATTTGTTTTGGACGCCTTGCGCTACCTACTGTATTAATCAGGTGCTCGAAGATTTCATGAAGATAAGATGTGTAGAAGAGTGCATGGAAAAGGGCCAAAAAATTACAAAACTAATATACAATCAAATATGGTTGTTAAATCTTTTGAAAAGTGAATTTACCCAGGGAAAGGATCTTCTTAAACCAGCTGGCACCCAGTGTGCTTCTAGCTTTGCTACATTGCAGAGTTTGTTGGATCATCGAGTTAGTCTCAGACGAATGTTTCTTTCAAACAAATGGATGTCATCCAGGTTTTCCAGCTCAAGTGAGGGGAAAGAGGTACAAAGAATTGTTCTGAATGTTACATTTTGGAAGAAAATGCAGTATGTGAGGAAATCAGTGGAGCCCATTTTGCAATTGATTCAAAAGGTGTCTAGTGGCGAGAGCTTGTCAATGTCATTTTTATATAACGACTTGTACAGGGCAAGACTTGCAATCAAATTTGGACATGGCGATGATGCACGTAAATATGAACCATTCTGGAAGGTGATAGATAGGCATTGTAACTCTCTGTTCTGTCATCCTCTTTACTTGGCTGCTTACTTTTTGAATCCATCATACCGATACCGTCAGGATTTTGTTGCGGTATGTCATTGTATTAAATATTTTCCTATTGTTTGCAATTTTTTAAAATTTTTTTTATTCAAGATCTTTACTGAAGTGAATGCTTGGTATGACTATAGCATTCTGAGGTAGTACGAGGGCTGAATGAATGCATTGTTCGGCTAGATCTCGATAGTATGAGACGAATATCTGCATCAATGCAAGTAAGACATCCTTAATGACTGTTATGTAATAGACTTCATTAGATAAACTTTAATTATCATATCTTGTTTACAATGATGTTATTTCCAGATTGCTCATTATAATTCTGCACAAGATGATTTTGGAACTGAATTGGCAATTAGCACAAGAACAGATCTTGAACCAGGTAAATTACTGCGCTATATACTTCATGTATCAATTAAATGTGTATTGGTGAATTGCTAGTTCTGTATAAGTTTATTGATTCACTTTACTTTGTTTACCTCACTAGCTGCTTGGTGGCAACAGCATGGAATAAATTGCTTAGAGTTGCAAAGAATTGCCGTGCGTATATTAAGTCAGACATGCTCATCATTTGCGTGTGAGCATGATTCAAATATGTATGATCAGATATATAGCAAAAGAAAAAATCGTCTTTCTCAGAAGAAACTTAACGACGTCATGTATGTTCACTATAACTTGCGCCTTAGAGAATGCCAAGTAAGAAAAAGGTCCAGGGAGTCGAAGTCAACCTCTGTTGATAGTGTTCTACAAGAGCACTTATTTAGTGATTGGATAGTTGATACCACTGCACAAAGCTCTGATGGTGACAAGGTAATGTTTAAACTGCATCATCGGATTTCAATCAAATGGTCTACAATTCAATGACTCTTCGACTGCACCATTTCCCAACTGCAGGGAATCCTTCAACAGTTTAGCTATCTAATTGAATGTTTGTTTTGCCTTTTGTTTTTTTGTAGAATATCCCTTTTGGAGTTGAACTAGGCGATGAATATGAAAATGATTCAATTGACTATGAAGACGGGGGAGCTGCAAGGCATCTAAAGGGTTCCCTTGAGCTGATGACTATGGCTGACGGAGCAGTAGGATCATCAGATGCAGATCATGCTAACATCGATGGCGCCACTGACGATGAGTCGGATCTGAATTATTTTGATGATGATTTAAGCGAGTAATCAAGTTACATGGGTTCTTCTTGTAGTGGAATAAGCAAATTGGTTGCTGGTTATGAACATGTATTGCTACTTCCCTGTGAAAAATCGAGATCTTGTTGTCTAAAACCATGTTCATTTTTATCTATCGGAGCATTGTTGGCATTCAATCTGAAACTGAAGGTGTTAAGATCTTCAATTTGAGTTGGTCTGTAGCTAATCTTACCCAATGATGTTTATTGTAAGATAAATTTTGATGTTAAATGATGTACAAAATAATAGGTTTATGTGATCAGAATTTACATAGATTTATTTCATTTGATCTATCCTGTATATTTTTGACGGATTTTATTTTATTTGATCTATGCTATATATGTGTTATTGTTCTGAAGATTTTTATTGGGTCAATGCAATTATAATTCTTTTGAAAGGATGTTTTAAATTAACAAATATTCATCATCTGTGCCAAGGGTTGTTTTGAAATGATGTCATAAGGTGAAATCCAAATCTATTTTTTCTACTCATTCTCTCTGATGAAATGATGTCATAAGGCCAAAATGTATTAAAAAGATGGAAGAAGCATACAGCCTTGTTGTGCAAGTAACCTAATTTAATATTATCATGCACATAGTTCAACCTAAGAAACTTTTTAAGGTTAAAATCTAAACTAGTAAAAGCTTGTCTGCATAAACATTGTCTTCTCTATGGATGTGAGTGAGCATTAAGTGGATGGATTTAAGTAAGGTAAACACATTTTACAATCTAGTCCTTAATTGTCACGGCACAAAGACATGGTTTGAAAAAGTTTGCACCACAAGCCCTGGAGTCAGACTAGAGTAATATGATTTTCCAATTCTTATGGTTAGCAATCTCAATAGCAAGCATGTCCTCTACAAGCTCTGCATAAAAGGCATTGCATCTGCCTATGTAGGAAACAAAATTGCCAATGTGAACATGCAAGAGTCTCTAATATGCTACCACAGGCACCCAGAGGATGTAGTGCCAATGACAATCCCATCTGTATTACATTTCAGCCAAAGAATTACAGGGTGTCAAATGATTTTCACCGGATCTTTAGAGTTTTTTCAGATGAGGTGATTAAGAATGTTTTAAAAATTCAAAATTTTAAGCAATTCAAATAATACAATTGAAATTTATTCATCTTTAAATTTTATTGTTTTAATGGAGTGTTAAAATAATTCATTGTTAATTTTTAGGGTCATTTTTATAAATTTTAAAACTTCTGAGCTAAATTTAAAAAAGAAAAATATGGACCAATTTGCAATTTTTAAAAATTTTAAGAGACCAATTTATAAAATTTGAAAATTATTAGACTGATTTACAACTTTTTGAAAATTTTGTTGGTGAATTTAAAATTATTAGACTGATTTAACATTCACGTTATATAAAGGAGAATGAGCAGTTTCAAATTATTTACTTTTTGATGTCATTTGAAATTTCTTAAATTTAACTTGAATATATATATATATATATATATATATATATATATATATATATATATATATATATATATATATATATATATATATTAGTGTTATAATTGGTAAGGACCCGAATTAGGGTGCCCTCGCCCAACATTTAGACTGTCCAAGAGAGAATTTTAAGAGAGTCATTCAAGAACTTCTTTCAATGTGGAGTCAAGCTGCAAAGAGTTCCCGTTGACTCTGAAGATAGGCGGTCAATAACCTCTCACAATAAGAGGGGAGCGGATAAGACCACGTCTAGGAGGGTAAAAGCCCTAAGTCCTAGAGACCATTATAAAATCCCTAGTAACCTTAACACCGTCAATCTAGCCGCCCGCCTACAATCTAGCAGTGTCGGCCGCCAATAGGGTCTCTCACCTCATGTGAGTTGGTCTCTTAAATAACCTCAAAAACCATCGTACACGGCTACTCGTTATTGTGAGCTAGCCTTCACCCCCCAAAATTATATTATACCTACTAGGGTCTCCGAGTCTTCATGCCCTTGCAAGGGGAACACACACACAAATATACTTTTTGACCAGTACAATAGTATCCACCGTATGGACCTATAAAACTAACTTGGGTCACACTTCTTCTTAATAGCCATCATCTTCCCTGCCATACCGTCAACTCATACACCTAACCATTGTCAAACATGGTAAACAGAAGAGCTTCATCCCATACTCTTAAGGGTACCAGCAATACAGGCGATTTCAATGCGATCATGGACAAATTATGATGCCATAACCAGGCATTGGAAGATGACGTCCAAAACTTACGTCGCCAATAGATGGTCAATCTCTCGAAAGAGGTAGAACTGCTGGATCCCTAACCACTTTAGGACGAAATATGGGGGGCCTGTTCCCGAAGGTTTCAAACCCTTATCCTTGGCCAAGTTTGATATACGCAGCGATCCCTGCAAATAAGTCACCTCCATCAACACACATATGACCATTATAGGAACACTAGACTCCCTAAAATGTAAGTTATTGTCGGGAACCCTTAGGGAGGTCGCCCTTATATGGTAGATGGGACTTCCTCGTGCCTCCATCAACAACTATTAAGAGTTGGTAAGGAAGCTGGTACACCAGTTCAACGTCAGTCGCCACAAAAGATGTCCACCACCAGTCTGTTTAACATCTGCGAAGGTCCATCAGAATCCCTAAAGGACTACCTCGCCCACTTCAATGAAGCCATCATCAAGGTCATCCTATGAACCAATAAATATTTGTAGGGGAATTCCAAAATGGACTTAAGATGGAGCACTTCAATGAATTTCTCGCTTAAAATCCCACACTCACGCTCACCAAAGTAGTTGTCAGGGCGAAATGCTACATCAAAGGCGAGGAAAGCAATGTTAAAAAGAAGATTCACGATGCCAATAAGCACATCTCTGACGCCAAAATCTGTCATCCATCAAAGAAAAACAACTACACCTCACCCGTGAAGGATGAATCCCTGTTCAAAAGGGCAGGAAAAATGACAGAGAGTTTCACACCTTTGAATACCTGCCGAGAACAGATCTGGCACGAGGTACTCCACCTATATAACATCCTGAAACCGCCTTCCCCCAGGTCCGAGGTAATAGGATATGAGCCAGAAAGGTGGTGTAAGTTCCATAAGGTTAAAGAACATCATACCGATAACTACTACCAGTTAAAGAAGGAAATAGAAAAACTGATACAAGAGGGCCACCTCAATAAGTATGTGAAAGTAACTGCTCCAACCAGGTTGAACAATGTAACCCGCGTACGCAAGAAGATACCAGAAACCCGGAACCAAATAAAGCCAAAGAAGCATCCTAGGGTGAAGTTAAGAAAGCAGTGTATTATACCCTTAACACCAAAGAAGGAATATTCACCAAGGGCGACGAGACCAGCTTCGGCCATAAAAGATATGTCTGTTAGATTCTGAGTATAGACAACCTCCATGAGATCACAAGTACGAAGGAAGCAGAAGCCGTAATCATCTTCTCAGAAGAAGATGCGTTCAACATCTATCCTGACAAAGTCGATCACATGGTCGTCGTGCAAAATTCTAAGAATTGGAGATCAAAATACTCCTAGTCGACCAGGGAAGCTCCATCGATATACCATATTGGGACGCCTTCGAGAGATTGCATCTTGAACCCGAAGACCCGAAGCCCTTCAAAGGATCATTAATTGGATTCTTGGGAGAACAAGTGCACATTAATGGTTACCTCACTCTGAGGATCACGTTCAGAGAGCAAGACCATGTCAAAGAAATAAAGGTTAAGTATTTAGTCATTGACATCCCTCTTCATATAGTATGATTATTGGGAGACCAACCTTTAACTGGATGGGAGCCGCTTTGTCTACCTTGTATTTATTCATGAAATACCCAACAGGCGAGTGGGAGTCGTTCGAGGAGACCATGAAATTGTCAGGAAGTGATATGTAAAAATCCTTAAGTTAAAAAGGACACACCTTCAAAACGTAAGGGTGAAAATTCCAACCATGGAATAACACCGTCCGACAAAGGTGGCGAGAGCCAAAAGCTTCTCATCCATCCTCACATTGCGATGAGGCCTGGAGGCAAGAAGGAATCCTTATTTATTCATGTAGTTGTTTTGTTTTTTATTATTTACCCAGTTGACATTTCTTTCATATGCGAGTATTAAAACTCTGTAGATTGAAGGATAAGTTGTTAGTTTGGATGCACTCTTTTCCCTCTGCACCTTCTAGGGAGAGAGTGTTTTTAATGAGGTATCTCATTCTTATTTATCTATGTTTATTTGTTATGTCATATCTATGTAGGGAAACCATGTCCACAAGAGACAAAAAATTATATTTGTTGGATCCCCCAAGGGTGGATCCTTGTTGCCCATATAGGTAATTATATTTGTAGGATCCCTTAAGGATGGATGGATTCTTTCCGCACATAGAGGCAATTATATTTTCTAGATTGCCCAAGAGTGGATCCTTCCTGCCCATAGAGGCAATTATATTTACTGGATCTCCAAAGGATGAATCCTTGCCGCCTATAGATGCAATTATATTTGATAGATCCCCTAAGAGTGGATCTTTTCCGCCTATAGAGGAAATTATATTTGCTGGACCCCCCAAAGGTGGATCCTTTCCGCCCATAAAGACAATTATTTTTGTGGGATCTCTCTAAGGGTGGATCCTTGTCACCCATAGAGGAAATTATATTTGATGGATCTCCCAAGGGTGGATCCTTGCTTCCCATAGAAGAAATTATATTTGTTGGATCCCCCAAAGGAAGGATCCTTGCCCCCCCCCCCCCCCCCCCCCCATTGAGGCAACCGTAGAAACATAACATCTTAAGGGAAAACAACAAAACAGTTAAACCCTAAAAGTAGTTAATATAAAGATGCCCCATGAGGGGCATCACTGTTCCAAACAATTACAAAAGCCCAAGAGGGGGTCAAAAGAAATACAACAATAGACAAAAAGCCAAAGAGGGAAAACATCATTAAAATTTTGGCACTTGCAATACAAATGTTAATACTGGTGTCCCAACACCAGAATATAATATCAGGACAAATGTTAAGACATT